GGAAATTCTGTTTAGGTTGGGGGGGGGGGGAGGAATTTACAATGAAGGTGATCAAATACTGGAACAGATTTCCCAAAGCAGCTGTGGAATCTCCTTCCATGCAGATGCTCAAAACTCAACTGTTCAAGGCTCTGAACAACCTGTTAAGAAAGCTGGAATGGAGCAAAGCCTCAAAAAGGAATGGATTATTCAAGCTTGACATATTTCAAGTATTAGTAGTGTTTTCTTGGAGGCAGCAGGCACACCTGCACTGAGAAGACCTGTGTGACAAGATGGGCACATAGTGCACATTACATAACATAAAATGCATCACTACGATCAGAAGGTCTTTCGGAAATGAAGATAAGATCAATTTGTCCTGTGGCAAGTTATTTACGCTGTTCTATTCAGGCTAGCAGGTTATTTGTGATTGCTACTTATAGGTATTCATCAGATATGTTAGAGTCCAACTATATTTTTTCAATAAGGTTGTGGTTGGCAAACTTGATATATCTGAGAAAAAAAACATACAGAAGATCTCATAGACTGGCTCTAGTAACTCACAGTCTAATAGCGAGGAGCTCCAGATTCGTGGCAAGTCTAGAAGTCCTAGGACACTGTGACTTCCTTAACACATTCTCATTTTAAGCAATAGCACCTTAGGGCACCTCTGACACTACTTTTTTGGCCAAGGGAGACAAAGTTAACTTGTTTATGTTTTTTTAAGGCTGCTACCAAAAGTTAGCATTTCCCATAGGAGTACATACAACCCTAGTGTCGAAATAGGGGGTTGGGAGTTCAGGCTCGTGGTTTCAAGTTTCAAATGACTTTTTGCCTGATTTTTTTTTTTTTTTTTCCTTCTCAGAACTGTTTAACATCAGTTTCTTCCACTAAAGTATATGGTTTGGTGGACTGGCCTTGTCCTTTTTTGTCCATGAGTAAGCAGGAACCCAAGCATGAAGGTGGTGTCCAATTTTTCTCTCTTGTGCCCCTTGACCTGCATACTAATGTAATGTAGGGAAACAGAGCTGGAAACACCTGTAAATAAACAGTTGCACGTGTAAGAACGTGTCCAGAAGGCTATCATTTCAAAACTAAAGTATAACCTCCTGGCTAATATGAGGACTTCTTTTTGGCAGTGTATTCTTCCCTTCTGAAACGCTGCAAGAGGAGTACTCCCAAGAGGCTTGCTACCATCATAAAGGTAATAGAATATCATCTTCTAATGAATAATTTTCCAACTGTTTTTCTTTGTACCTTAGACAGGTGCCTTTCTACCTTCTTTGTGGTTTCCTTTGTTACCTTAGGTAACAGAGTTTTCCTGTGCTTGAATATTCTTCTGAGTATGAAAAGCAAAATAGATTAAATTCTGCATTCCTCAGTAACCTGGCCTTCATATTATTAGAATTCAGGTATTTGTTCTTAAAGACCACATGAAACCAAGAAAACCTGTTAGCTTTTGCTAATTATAATTTATGGTAAGAGTGCAGCAATATAAAAACAGCTGCACAACAATCCCTAGGACAGCCACAGCATGTCCTGAAATACAGAGATCTTTCCATGGCCGTGGGCAGCAGCAAAGCCCCAGCAGCTACTTAAACCTTGGGTTTGATTTTTTTTTTTTTTTAATCAAAACCAGCAACAAACAGTCAAGCCAGAGCCAAATACAGGGAGATTTATTACGAGGTGACCACCTGTCCATTTAGGACTTTAAACCCTCTAATTGACCATAGCGGGACTTGAAGCAAAGTTTATTTTCTCACTTACCGTGTTCTTAAGCTGTAACTTAGAGTTCTTCTGCCACGTGAGTGAAGGCTGCGTGGGGCTCTACTGTGTTAATTCTCTGTGGCACAAACTCACTTTGTTGTAGTTGGATTTTTGGTTTCATCCTTATTAGTTTAACGGCATGTCGTCGTTATGGAAGAACGCATGTCCCATTATCATCATTTGCTTGCAGTCTGTGAAGTGCTGGAGTTCCTACTGAGTGCAATGTATTCCTGGGCCAGATGGAGGGAGGCAGCCGTGCCACAACACAACAGTACCATGATCTAAAGCTTTGGTTTTGGCTGTTCTCCCATTTTTCTTTGTTGCCATTGCATCCCTGTTCGTTTTCTGGGACAATACGAACTCATCAGGAAATAAGGGGATTTTTCTGCTCAAGAGCTCAGCTTTGCTTGATGGCCAACATGAAGGAGGGAGCAGGACAGAGCAGAGAGAGTAAATACTTTACAGTTTTGCAAACTGAGCTCGAAGTTGAGGGGATTTGCTGTTGTCAGCAGCATATTCTTCTACTCTCCAGCTGTACAAGGTTCACTTTACTTAGATCACCTTTTATTTCAGATGAAAAGAGACTCTGGATATTCCACCATGGCTGAGCAGCAGAAGCAGGTAAAGGCTCAAGGTCATCTTTCGAAGGAAGCGTTATGCAGGTGCTTGGAAGGCTGGATGTGTTCAATCATCTTCTAAGAGAAGTGACAGACACATCCACGCTCTGATCACTTTAGCACAACCAGGAGCTCATCTCTTACCACTACAGCAACATTTTCCCAGCTTTTTTCCCTTCCAGCGGACTGCAGCTACAGCACCAAGTGATGAAGGGCCTGTTATCTTTGCTTGCGTGGCAAGGGACCACAACCCTCCCCTGTAACCAGAAGCCATGCCACCTGACTGGCCCCAGTCCTCAAAGTGCTCCTGCTAAACAATTAAGTTTCCCAGCTGATGTGCCCCAGTCTCTTTACCTTGCAGGCAGCAACCCTGTTCTGCACTTAAGGAATTTGCCAACTTGTACAAGTCCTTTAAGGGCAAGATCTCAAGCGATCCATGGATTGGGAACTACTGTGCTGGAGCTGTTGGCAGGAAGAGAAACGGGGTGTTAGCACTTGGACTTGATGAACGAGATATATTTTTTTTTTCTATGTAAACTTCTCTGGTTCTACAGCTCATGTAATTATACTGTGTGGGATTCATTCATGTAATCACTTCATCACATGCAATAAAAACACAGGCTCAAAACAAGACAGTTTCTAGCCAAAGAGGTTTTATAATAGGTTAAGTGTTGAGCTTTAGCTACTCTTTGTCCTATATCAAAGCAGGACATACACAGTGTCTGATGAGTATTAGGAGTTATTAGTTTTTGAAACTCTGAGTTGTTCAGCTGGAAAATGCTAAACAGTCTGAAATACTATTTGGTCTAACTAAAAATTCTCACACTGGTAGATAGCGGAGTTTTTCTTTGGTATGTCCTTTCTTCATCCCAGGAGCAACAAGGATTTATAGGATACAATTCTGTTAAAAAGCTGTAAGCTTTTTATAGCTTTTGTAACCTTTTTTCTGAAGAATAGGTAGATGGTGTTCCGGGGTCTAAAGATTAAGAAAGTCTTATCTCATGTCAGCATACATGAGGCATAACATGGATGCAACTGGGAGTATGAAACTGCTAAGAGAGCAAATCTCCAGCCCAGAATCCAGCATGCACTATCTGAAGCTGGAATAGATTGCTTTCACCAGGCATGCCTTTGTAGTTCAGTACGCCCAGTGACAATGCTGGCAACTGATTGCATTGCTTCTAATATAAACCTATAGGGTTCACAAACATCAAGCTGTAGGGCAAGAGTCCTTTAAATGACTTCCTCCCCAGTTGCTAACTTGATTTAAGAAAAAAAAAAAAAAATGATGATAGGAGGAAATGGTTGTTTGTTTTAATGAGGAAGTTTCAGTGCTAATGAGCAAAGTTCTGTCCTGGGACAGATAAATATTGCTGACAAGTCCTGGGCGATGTTTAATGTTCTGTAGCTGTTACAGAATCTTAAAAAAGCTCTTAGCACTGAAAGCCATCTAGAGAGGATTCCTCTATATTGCATTACCCTAAAGACACCTGCATTCAACATTAGTGAGCTCTCTTGTTTGTCCTCTCTGACAGGAGACAATCAGGACAGCAACTATGTGGCATGCTATTTTTACTCCAGCCTGTTTGTGCAGCACAACAACACAGTTAAACAGGAAGGACAGAGTAATGAATAAGACCCTAGCTGGTTATTACACTGTATTATTTTAGAACTGCACTGATTTTTTATTTTAAACATTTATCCTGTGGATAAATGTAATGCATATTTACCCAAGAAAACCCAAACTAAGATTGCTGAACTCCAGAACCAATTCCAACTTGGGCTACTCTAAAACACAGATAGTTAATTATACATTTGTAATATATTTGCTAAACAACTTGGGTTCAAATATTTAAATGCTCACATATATTGAATACTGCTTTTTGAATATACTTACTCCTGGAATCAAAAGGTCTCACTGGTAATTTTCTGACTCTCTTGCAGTTGCTTTGTATAGTTAAAATCCTTACTGTGATAAGAGTTACGCTAACATCATGCCCTTATGCTGTACACAGGAATATTTTTTCAGTAGATAACACTGCTGTGTCTGAGAGCAGGGATTTAGAGAACTTTATACTTTGGAGAAGTTGAGTATTTTGGCTCATTGTTAATGTGCAGTTGTTCTATACAGAAGGCACGTGGTACCTACTAGCCAAGTTGTACTCTTCAGTACTAGAGCTGAGTGGTACCTGTGAAGGCACAGCAAAGTGACTTATGCAAGGAAAGGTAATATCCTGTATTAAACCTCTGTTATACTTGGGGAAAAAAAGGCAAGCCTCTGGGCACGTGAGCCTGACTTCACAATCAGTCTTCAAAGCAAAGAGGAAAGTTGAGAGGAATGGTTCTGGATTAACTGGAGCTGTTAATCAGATTATCTGAGCGCAACAGTTCTTGACTGCCGCAGGAAGAAAACATATTGCGTACTGGGAGGGAGAAAATAGTGAGGGAGGGAGGTGTCAAGATGGAGCTCCATTCCTTACCCCCAGGTCTTCCTTTCCTACTGCTCTGACTTTTCCAGAAGCCCCTTATATTATAGTCCTCCAGGTACCGAGAAGCATGCCAAATAAAAACAAAGAGGGAAAAATCAGTGGTCCTTTCTCTCCCTGTGGTTATTCCAGAGAAATTACATGTCAGTGACACTTCAGGTCTCTGTAAGCATGGCAGATGGATGTGTGTATGCTCCCCCCCTCAATTACACACAATATCCCATTACAGCTTTGTTATTGTGTTCTTCAGAGAGTTTGTGAAACGAAGTGGGCCATCATAGGCCTGCCTTTACCTCCTGCCTTTCAAATACAAACAATGCTAGTGTAGGACACAGCGGCACGTGCTCACTCTTGTTGCTTGCTCACAGGCAGAGAAGCTCTGGGATGCCCTGAAGGTCACCGCCTGCATCCTTGGTACCGGCCTGCTCACATTCACTGCCTTAGCGAACACTATTTCTTGGTAAGATTGTTCGAACAAAGGGGCTCGAGGAGAAACTTTTCTTTGGAGAGGGGAAAAAGTGAATGATGAAAAGATGGACAACCGAGAACACTTATTCCCACAGGAACGTGCAGAATCTCTGGGACGCTTTAGGCCATTTCTGGCAAACAACGTGGCTAAAGCTCTACTACCTGTTTGAGGGAAAGGAGTGGACAATCTTCTTCCTTGGTGAGTTTTAACAACTCCCTGCTGTAGGAGCAACCGTCCATGTATTACATCTAAAAGGGGACATGGACACACCTTCCCCAACTCACTAATCCTCCCACTGAAAAAGCACGTGTAGGCTTCAAAGCCAGCCACAGCTGACGTAGTGCAACTGTGCTGCCTTTGGACTGGTTCGCCATTAGACCCCCTATACAGGTTAAAAATTTGATTTTTTGCTGCTGCTGATATGGCTTCCCTGCAAAGACACTTTGCTCCTGTGAGAGCTGAGTGACTCAGTAGAGCTAATTACTAAAAATTAAAGTAAAATTAGTGAATTTTACTCTTGCTGCAGCACCTATAAAACTCCTCTCTGTCTGTGATTAACAGCTGGTGAACAGGCCTGGTAGGGACCTTGCAAAGTCCCAGGGATCAACTCAACCCTTTCCTACTTGTATTTAAAAACCACCCATGACAGAGATCCCCCAGCCTCCCAGAAGAGCCCTTTCTTAGCCTCAGTTGTGGCAAGTTTCAACCTATGCGACATTTGTCTGCTCCTCCCCATTCCCTAGGTTTTGCCCGGATATCAGAACTTACCCATATTCCATTTTAAAGGATCTCAGGGCAGGGGATGCGCACCTGGTACATCTGGGTCCCAGAAAGGTCCTCTGGGCACTATGCCACTGTATTTTGTTTGCGATTTAGCCAGGGCTCTCAATTTATTCACCCGTCTCTGCCCTTTCCTCACGCCACAGGGGCTGCATTGGTGCCTAGCCTTGCTTTCTGGTGCTTCAATGGAATCCTCATGGTGGCTGATGTAACAGGAAAGCCAACTTTCATTACTCGCTATCGCATTCAGCTGGGCAAGAACGATCCTGTAAGTATTTCTCTCTCTGCCTCTTCTGCTGGCTAAACACTTCCAGCAGTCTCTTAGGCTAGGAGCAGGGGAGAAGAACCTGTTATGCTTTTCTCTTGCAACCAGATAGGATTCAAGGACAATCAAGCTGAGTCTTGTATATCCACTGCAGAGAGGAAGGCAGTTCTTGTAATTAGCCTACTGATCAGATCTGGATTGACTGCTTTTACAAAGTTGATCCCAAAACTAATATGGAAACTGCCTACAAGCCCTAAAGCTCTTTATCATTCTGACTCAAAGCTGTATTGTTTCTGACTTAGCCTCAAGTCCTGACTTCTCTTTTGCAGGTGGACACAAAAAAATTGCGCCAAGCCATCTACACAGTGCTGTGTAATCAGTTCTTTATCTCCTTTCCCATGCTTGTGCTTATGTTCTATGTCATGAAATGGTGGGGCAACACCTTCAGCAAGGAATTACCCACCTTCCGCTGGTTTCTTGTGGAGCTAAGCATCTTTACCTTAATAGAGGAAATTCTCTTCTATTATACACACAGGTGAGCTGAGCACAGGAACAGAACTCTGTGGTTTTTCTCCACGCCTTTAAGCTTATACCCATCTCTTGCAACAGCAATAGTCCTAGTCCCCCCTCTTCCACCTGTCTTGTATGTATATGGAAAGACTTACAGGTCCTGAAATCCACCTTTACAGCATGAGGCTTTGGTGTTGCCAGTAACTACAGTAAGCAAAAATGGGTAAAATTACAGAGGTGGAGCAGCTTAGAGGCTAAGGAAGAAACAAAACAGGTAGCTTTACACAAAAGCTGTGACCCAGCATTCTTTGAAAAGAGAAGAACAAGACTGATTATCCTGAACGAAAAAAGCTCAAGAGGTCAGTGACTGATCTCCTGTTCGCTTGTACAGCACCTACGAAACAGGGCCTGGCTCCTGACACGGCAGGCTTCCTACCAACACCAACATTAGAGGGAAAAATTAAAGCAAGGAAGAAAAAAGCCTGCAAAAGACCATGCAGAAGCAAGCACAGCATTCTCAGAAATATGTAGGTTTCCCTTTTGGACAAATGCACATAAAAAGCCATTTCTTAAGAAGGACCCACAGAACCTAAAATTCTGATTCTAATAGTTGTCAGCAGGAAAAGTCAAAACAGTGAAAATATAAAGTGAGTCTTCCCCTAAGTAGTACTCCCAAGTTTGAGCAAATAAGTCATTCGGAGACTTTGATTTATGGGATTTATCTGGACTTAAGTTTAACATTAGCCAGTGGACATATCAACTGAGCAAGGGCTCAATACTAAAGAAAGAGAGAGACAGGGAAGCAAGCCAGGAGTCTCATCCCAGCTGCTCTAAAATCTTCATGTTAAAGAGGAGACATGAGCAAGTCCCCAGCAGAAATTTTGTGTTATGTTACTCCATGTTCCTTTCTTGCAGAGCTCAAAACCTGCCTTTCTGTTTTCTCTACTTAGGCTTGCTCACCTCCCGCTCCTGTATAAGCACATTCACAAGAAGCACCACGAATGGACAGCCCCCATTGGCGTGGTCTCCATTTATGCTCACCCAGTGGAACACATAGTAAGTGGATTCTCCCATGGTCACCCTCCAGTTTCTGCATGGAGCGCGATTTCCATGAGATGAGGAGGAGTGGTAAGAGAAGAAATGCAAACGCACCCTTAGACTCTTTTTTCTTACAAAGAGGAAGCTAAGCTGCGTTGCCAAGAAGCTTGGCTGTAGAAGGGTTGCGGTATGTTTATGCCAGACTCCACTAGCTTTAAGAGCACAGATTTAGGGGCCTCCAACAGATAAGGAACCGACTGAATGGTGCTTCCTTGAGCACAGAGAGGGCTGGGAGTACATACGGTGCCTTCGGCACAAGATGTGACACACAATCTGGGTTACTGCATGGATTCGGAATTCTGTCATGATTTTCACGCTGGTGGCTGGGATCACTGTTTGCAGGAGTGTCTCCCAGCGCTGCTCCAGCGGAAACTTCTCATGAAAACACATCCCACCTTCAGAAGATTCCACTTATAAGTACTATCTCCCGTTAACAACAGTCCTGGGCTGCAGCACCAGTTCAGTGAGTCTCCCTAACTGACAGTCTTTGGGCAGCAGACTGACTTCTTTTTTTCGAGTCCAGCTAAGCCTAGCTGGTGCAATGAGCTTGGTCTGGGCAGCGACAGCCCAATGCAGTGATGCAGCCGGGATCATCCCATTGCTGCCCGGACTGCACATGTCCCCAGGCCATGCCCTTTTACAGCTAGGTTTCCCAAGAGCAGCTTCAGCATTATTCCAAAGTGAAGCTGAAATTCAGACCTCTGACTCCAGGGTGGTTTACTAGAATCACGCTGCCCTCACACCCTGGTTTGAGCTCATGTCTTAACTTCTACTACAAGCTGAGGGAGCTTGGGCTGTGACTGTGTTTTGCAGTGAGTGAAACTCAGCTCAGAGTAAGTTATTTCTTTGATCATTATGTAATTTTAGTATGGTGTTTGCAAAGGGATCTTCCCTTTATGCTCTTTGCACAAAACTAATGTGATGTATCACCTACGTGAAACAATTCAGCTCCTTAGAGGAGAGCCTGCTTGTTGTGGACTCGTTAATGAGGTAGAGTTTGCTTCTCATTTCTAGCTCTCCAACACACTGCCTGTCATGACTGGACCGATGATCATGGGGTCCCATATTGTTTCAATCGCAGCGTGGTTCTCCCTTGCTCTCATAACAACAAGCATTTCGCACTGCGGCTACCACCTGCCCTTCCTACCGTCGCCGGAGTTCCACGACTTCCACCACCTCAAGTACGTCCGGGCACTGCTCAGCTTCCCCTTCCCCTCCTGCCTGTGCCCTGGCATCGCTGATGGGAAAAGCTCCTTTCCGAGGGTCAAGTGGGTTTGCGTAACTCACGTACAAGCAGAGAAGCCTATCCAGTTCGGCCGATAGCAGGCTGAATGCTGTCAGTTTTTAAAGCAGTTAGAGATGGGGATTTCGGAGGACTCCAGCCCCCTGCCCACGCAGCTGCCAGACACCTCACGGACATCTACCCTCCTCCACCAGCTGACTTGGAGACTTTCTCCAAAGCACAAACACCGCAGCTGAGGCTGGGTGTTTCAAGTTTCCTAAGATTACATGGGAGGAAAAAGCACACAGTGTCTGAAGCAGCAGGTATCACCTGGACTTTCCCCAGCAGAAGGTCAGAGACAGTTCTCTGCAAGGCTCTTCCTAGAAGTTTAGAAGACACTGCATGTGATCTAGAATAAAGACAGAGCAAGGGCAAGTCACACAGCTGAAATAAATTTGCAGGGAGCCTCCCTGTCTGCCCCTCTCCCATACACTGGGATTAGTAACACCGACCTAGTTAACACCTTGCCCAAACAATTGCAATTAACCCTTCCTGGCAGACTCCCAGCCTCCTCCTCCACTGGAGAGAGCAGAGTTTCAGCTGGTTGTTCAGGTATACACACCACAGTAGTGGAAGAAGCAGTCCCATCTCCCAGATGTGCACTAAATTCATAGACATACACCCTCGAACAATTAATCCTCCTGCAGAAACAGCCAATGTGGCAGTTCTATCACCACCCAAATGCTGGGCAACACCCAAACCAGTGTCAGTTCTTATCAGTCATTTCCTCCGAAGCTCGGCTCAAGCCAGGACATGGATCCCTGCAGAGCTGAGATGCTCTCTGGGCAGAACGGCTGTGCCAGCATACCAGTGCTGGAAGCACAGCAGCTCCGCGTCCCGGGGCAGCTGGATCTCGGGAGCACACGGACACGGCAACGTGGCTGTCCAGCTGCTCCCGCAGCTCTGAGCCGTCCGGGAGAGAGACGGCTGCTGTTCGGTGCCACCATTTCTGGGTCATGAAGGCACCAGAGAGGGAAGTTGCAGAAGTTTCACCCAGGCTTTGACAGAGCTGCGAGGGAGACTGGTGCCATGGCAGAAACCGCATGGACGGTTTCTCAGGGCTCTGAAAGGAGATGGAAATAGGAAGGGTGAGAGAACCTCAGTAACTTCCAGTCATGTTTATTCTGTTTGGTTTCCAGGTTCAATCAGTGCTACGGAGTCCTGGGAGTGCTGGATTATCTGCATGGAACAGATACAGTGTTCAGACAAACCAAAGCCTATGAGAGACACAGGGTCCTCCTCAGCTTCACACCGCTCTCAGAAAGCATCCCCGAGGCACCCAAGAGGGCAGAGTGAACCCAGCAGCAGCCCGCAGTTCTTGCAGAGCCCCGTGACTAGCAGAGTGAGAGACAATGATTTATGCCAAATAGTATTTTAATTGGGAAACATGTTACTGTTCACACGTAACAAAACCCAAAGCTGAACTTAAAACATGCTACTTGAGATGTCTGCACTTTTGCTGCCATTATTTTCTACCTAAGGCACAAAAACCCCTGCTCTAGAAACCTATTTTTTAAACAAAGTTTAGAGCAGGTTTTTTCTTCATTACTTGCACTGTTCCTTGGTTTTAGCTGCCTGCACATAAGCCAGATGTGTTTTGAGCCACATGGCTTTGGGGAGTTCTCATTATTAAGGTTTTAACACTTCAGTTTTCACAGGCCATGCTTTGGCCTCTGCAGCAGCATTCCATAGAAATACCAGCAAGATTACTCTAACTACATGTTAATAGGATTAAACCCACTATTTTCTGAGAGTCAGAACACCTGGGATATGGGATGCAACCCCATGGAAAGTCAGTGGGGCCACAGCTTTAGAAAGGCTCTCCCCTGCACATGCAACAGAGGCCTGACTTGCCCCAAGCAGTTTTCCTTCATGCGAGAGGTCAGTACAGGTCCGAGTTAAGGGCTGCCACATTCTCATCTCTGCTCCACAGACTAATGTCTGCAAACATAAAGCGAGTTTCCCCCATATAGGACAGGAAAGGAGAGCTGATGTGCTACATGGCAGAAGCCCTGGTGTATCACCTCCTCCTGCTGTGACTCATCTCACTCCCCACACACCAAAAGGAGACATAAATCAAAACAAGCTCTGTGCAACTATCAACTGCGGAAAGAGACGTTCCAAGGAAGACTCGCTGCTGTCCTGAGCTGTGTGGAGATCAGTAAAACCCTGTAAGAAAGGGCCCAACAAAAAGCACTCATACCTTTATGCACATCCATAAGTACCTACACAACCGAGCTCGAGACATTCTGCAAATTTTCTCCAGGATCTTTCTAAGTCTCAATCCTGTCTGGGGGCCTGGAACAAAAATGACACCTACCTCTCACCACTGAGGAGAGGACACGCAGGGCTGACCTGCGCTGCACTTACCTGCTGTCAGCCCACCTCCGCCTGTGGAAGGCAACTCTCTTCACCCAGCCTCCTGCAGTCCCTACAACCACACGGGGATGAACCCAGCCCGTTCATCCACCCACAGCCCCCTGGGGAGGGCAAGTCAGCAGAACAGAAAACCCAGGCCACATTGTCTTTTGAAGTTTTTATTTTTATACATTTTTTTTGTATTAAAAAGGAAAAAGCATAATTACCACAAATTACAAAGGACTAAAGCATTACTAGAATAATGAATCACATCAGCCTAGAAAGCAGATACTCTGAATAATATTAATGTTATAATACAAGCTCTCATTCAAGTATTTTACATTTTTCTTTTCCTTTTATATGTGATGATGATCCTAGCACATGGGTCAAAGATTATGTACTATCGACAGAAGATGGATCATGTACAGCGGGCCATATTAACAAGATTTTCCTCCCAAGTGATACATGGTCTGTGATGAGTCATTTTAAGTTTGTCTCTACGATAAATGCAGCTGAAGAAGGTTGCACACACTTTCTAGTTTTGGGAAACAGAAGGCTGAGGTTGGGACACACAGGGTTTGAGAAGGGCCAGCACGTCGAACCATCACCCCTTTTGCTCCAGGCGAGTGAGCCGAGGGCCACCCTCGCCGGGGTGCAGCTCAGCGGGGGTTTGAGCCACAGAACCAAAGGTTTCCAACCCCAACGGGACCGGGACAGGCTGGGAGAGAAGGAGGGGGAGCGGGGATGCACCAGGGAGGCTCAAGGGACCAAGTGGTGCCAAGCATCCCCTCCTGCGAGGGGCACCACCGGCACGAGCCAGCCCCCGTGCGGGGCTGAGACCTGGAGAGCGAGCCACAGGGGGACAGCGCGGGGACCCTGGGGTTGATCCCAGCAGGTTCCGCACGCCGCAGGGGGCTGGAAGGCACCCAGGGCGCTCCCCGCTCCTCTGGAGCTTCCCACCAAGGGATGTGCTTGTCACAGATACATCGGTCCTATGTTCAAGTGTCTGCAGAAAGTGAAACTGTAAACTACTCATTGAAACACTGCCCTCCAGCCACCCGCTCCACACCACCGAGATGAACGTTTTCTTTAGGAGAAAAAAAAAAAAAAAAAAAAAAAAAAAAAAATCATTTATTTATTACCTGTATTGGAAACTTTAAAAAAAAAAAAAAAAAAGAGTCAGTGAGGCATTTAACATCAAGTGTAGCAACCCTCTCTTAAAAAGAGCCTAGCATCCATTTCAAAACAGTGACAAAGTGACATAACCAGTCTCAGAGGAGACAGAATATAAGCATTGCAAACACAGCTTGCTACATTTACAGTTTTCCTTTTTTTTTCCTTTTGATAAAATAACTGGAAAGGCATTAACAGCTAGAAGGCCCCCTCTGCACTGCCATGTGGAACGTGTAGAGACACGTGGCAGGATACTGAGGTTAACGCATCATTTTGTTACAGTACAGTCGACCAGTCCCAAGCAAGATGAGCAGTTGTGGAAACTCGAGGGACCCCAAGGGCTACAGTGACAAGCTGCTATCAGGGGTGCGAGGGGGGCAGCAGGAAGAGGGACAGACAGGCAAATGGAGCAGCAGGATTATTACTTTTTTTAAATTCCCCCCCCTCCCCCCAAAATCAGCATGGCAAAGCAACAAAGCCTCCTCTGAAACACACCTTCCACCTCCACTCCTGACCCCATGCCAGAGCTCTGTACCCGTTGTAACCACCTGCATCCCAAAGACGGGCTGACACGTGGGACCTTGGCAAGGAGCTGTAGCAGCCTGGGACCTCCCGAGAAGAGGGGCGAGATGGGGAGCACTCCCCCCACTCTGCCTGCAGAGACCCGACAGCCTCACCCAGCCTTTCCAAAAGCAGCCAGGGCTCCCTCCGGCCGTGCCGGTGGCTGGGCACCAGCACTGCACAGACCTCGCGAGCTGCGGGACACATCAGTGTTCACAGGAGTACACATGCCCAACCGCTAAAATTAAAAAAAGCACAAAACATGATCGTGGTGAAGCATCCAAGCTAAAAGCAAGGCCGAACTCCCTCCTCAGCAGGAAGGCAAGAGCTTCCTCAAAAGCAAAACCCCTCTCTGGACAACCGTCCCTTGGTCCAGCAGTGGAGCAAGCCTGCGTGTGATGCCTTCTGTACACAGCAAGAGGCCAAGCACCTCTGCAGACCTGTCCCTTGTGCGAGCCACAGGACAGGGGAAAGCCTCGCCACGGCCAGCCCCTCCTCAGCCTGGCAAGGACCACGCAACTCGGCAGCCTCTGCATCCGTGCAGCGCAGGGATGCAGGATGCTGCCCCGTAACCAGAGCATCGCGCCCCGGCTGAGAGCAGCAGCGACGGGCACCACGTTCCCTCAGTCCGGAGGAAGATAGGCAGGAGCAAGCAACAGCCGCCTCAGGCTGTGTCATGTCTGTCTCTTCTTCGCTCCCGGGCTACGCTGCTGCCCGACAGACAGTAAAACAAGGCACGCAGGCCGCAAATCCGGAGGGCGGTGGGACCGCTGGGGTTGCTTTTCTGACCCACCTTCCCCTGGGAAATGGGGGCGGCGGGGTGGGGGTTGTTTCACACGGGGCCATCAGCCACACTGATGTGACAAACCACTGACTCAGCAGAGGAGAAGGGGGGACGACACACCTCTTCCGCGCCTAGACTAGAGTCTCAGCCTTAAAAATAATAATAAAAAAAAATAATTTAAAATCAATTCAGTTTTTGGGAAATTCTCTAGGAAATTTCTTACCTCTACCACCACCCAAGCAATTCCACAGTCTGCTCCACAAGCAACAACTCCACAGCAGCTCATTCCTCCTCATTTCCTATTTCATTTGTTCCTAAAACGCAGACAATTGGCTTCAAAAGAGAACACGCACCGATGAGAGGAGCACAGGGACACAGCAGCAAGGACCACCCGCGGCACATCAAGACCTGCTTCCACTTAAAAACAACCAGCAGTGCATCTCCAATGTCCTTGTCCAACCCTCATCTCCAGCCTCCGAGGCTCCTCCTTCCCAAATCAGAGGCAAACCCGGCTGCATCGTAACCTCAGAGATCTGACTCCAGCTCACGAGAGAGGGGAAATCCAGAGATAACAGTCACGGCCGCAGCACTGTACAAGCGTTACTTGCCCGCCTGGCCCAGTTACTACCCTGCAGCCCCAGAGCACTGCTGCTGTCATGGAGCAAGCCACGGACTCAAGACATGTTGGCATGCCGAATTTGGACCTGTGAGCGAGCAGTACCAAGCTGCAGGGTGATGTGGCAGGGCGGACAGACCAGGGCAGGATCACACCACCAGGAAACAGCAAAGTAGCAGCTACCCAGCCTCACTCAAACCCAGCTGTGCTTTCAATTCTAGCAGCAGTTCACGAAGCTGCTCCACGCGGACCAGCCCACCTCCCCCCAACCCCACCTACTAAAGCAGCATCTTTGACGCAGTGTCAGTTCGGGAAGGTGGTAACTTCAGCCAGGGCCCCACGAGCATCCACAGCCACTGCTGATCGACAACTTGCCCAAACTTGCCCTCTTGATCTCCACTCTCAGCGCCTGGCTGCTCTCATCCACCAGCCTTGCAGCCGTACAGGGACAGCCCTGAAGAGATGACTCCTCCTCCCAGCTATGAGATGCAGCTCTGGATCAACTGGATACTTTAGGAAAACACTATTCGTTACCAGCTTGTGATTTTGCAGAGAGGGTAACGCACTTAGCTGCATCTGTGAGAAGCCCATTGCGGTGCCTGCTCCGCACCACGTGCAGGAGCACACTTTGCAGCTCATGAGGACAGGGTGCCGGAGCCACAACCAAGCCAGTTTCAAAGCAGGTATCCTGACCCAGGAGACCGAGCACAGCAGCAGCAAGGCAAGTGGCTCTAGCTGAAAAAGGAGCTGCTACCCTTACGGCAGGAGCACAACTTTCCAGCACTACGTCTGGGCCCCAGGAGCAGATCTCAGCCCTCCGACACATGCCCACACGTGGCCACACGCTTACAAGGGAACACAGCTCACGAGCCCTGGGAGGGTGTGCCTGCCGAAGCCCACCCGGTGCTGGGCAAAGGAGCAGAGAAAATGCCACAGCAGCTCTGCAGCCATCCCCTTGCCTCAGCTAGGCAAGGAGCAGCATGGTGTTATCTCAGCTCTCGGAGATGCACAAGGATGCTACCCTGAGCGCAAGACTCCACACAGCCGCTCGCCAAGACGTGAAGCACAAGGAAACCCAGGTGAGAGCCCTCCTTTGCCAGGCAGGTCTCCCACTTGCACCCAACACAAGTCCCGCCAGCGGCCCCAGGCCAGTGACGGCTGCGGGAGACGGAGTTCCCCGGGGCTGCATTGCTCCCTCGTCAGGCTACAGCATTAAGTGGCACCAGGGACACGCCAGCCCTCCCACTCGCTTGCAGCAAGGACGAGTCCCTCCAGCTGCTGTGACGGATCTCCCCGCTCACCTCCCGACCACGCTGGAGGCACAGACTGGAGCAGACAGACCTCCCGCCCCAGCGTGCCCGGAGAGGGCATGGGGGTTCTGAGCGAGGCCATAAGCAGGTACAGTTGCTGTTGCGGCAAGGATGCTACAATGGTATATACACAACATAGCGGCTTCAACTACGTCATGAGCACAAGTCTTGGATTTGACTGCCCTCGGCACCTTCCCCCATGAGAATCAGGGCTGGCAGGGGGTCTCCGCGATGTGGGGGGAGGCATCCGAGCGAGCTGCGGGGTCAGAGGAAAGGCCGCAGGGAATATCAGCTCGGCAGCAATGCCGTGAGGAGTCTCTGGGCCGCGGGAGCCAAGAGCCTAGCGCGCCCCAGGGTGCAGGAAGCCAGCGAGCCTCCCCGGTCCAGCTCCACCATAAGGCAACTTTTTTTTTTGTGTTTTTTGTTTTTTGTTTTTTTTTTTTGTTTGTTTGTTTTCTTCATAATATTTCCAAGGAAGAAAGCAAAGGGACATGTGTCTTTTTAGAGTTTTTTCGTCGTTGTTGTTTTAGAGGGGTTTGTGGGTTTTTTTGTTGTTGTTGTTTCATTTTTCCAAGGGAAAAGGAAGAGAAAACCTCCTTCAGCAAAGTCCTGTCTTTGCATGCAATGGGCATTCCTGGGGCAGGGGGTGCAGCGTCCACGCAGGCTTGAGTCCAAGTGCCTGCCAGCCTCCCACCAGCCATCCTCACAGGAAGGAGTCAGAACAAGCCTATCCTTGGCAAAGGTCCTTTGGTTGACTTCCAAATTGTCCATGATGGAAGGGAGAGGCGGGCGGAGGGAGAGCCAGACCCTCGGGAAGGTTGGAGGTGAAGACTCTGGGGAGGAGGGACCAGAAGGACAAACAGGGCGATGCTCCTGTCGCAGCAGTTGGTGTCAGAGAGGCACCGCCACACGTGGAATGGGAGACGTCAGCCAGGTCATAGAGATCAGAGGCTCCGCAGCATCGTGACATGCTGCGGCTTCAGTCCCCATCAGGGAACCTCGCTCCTCCGAGCTTCCTGAGCAGGCTGCCCTGCGATCCGAAGGGGGGACACAGAGGGGAGTCATTGGGGCCGCACAGAGCAGACTTGTTTTGGTAAATCCAGACGAACTTCTAGCAATAATTTAAAACTTGATATATATATATAATAATAAAAAAATCTCCCGTTTCCAACCCAGCCAGAACATTATTTTTTTTTTGAAGAGACACTAAGACATGAGTGTGTGCACAAGAGGGGAGGGAAGGGAAAGCAAAGGGTGGGTCTGCTGGGAGCGGGTCTGGCTCTGGTCAGGGTTGTAATAGCAAAATGGTGTTTTAGATGCAGATCGTCTTTGCTTTCCAGCCACAAGAGAAAAAATCGTGTGCGTTGAAGTTTCTCCCAAGCAGCCTATTCCTGGGCACCCACCTTCCAGCTCCCTTCCTGTCCCACCCCCTCACGTCTCCCCTTCTCCAAGCCAGTCCCCCACCAACCCACCCCATCCCCCGGCTGCAGCCTCCCTACTTCCCCACTGTCTGCGATTCTGCAGCTGACGGGGCGGGGGATTGCTGGCTCAGGTTTTTGGCATCCTCTTGTGCAGGCTGGCTGGGTGAGGCGTGGGCTTGGCTGGATGGGCACTGGCTGACTGTTTTGCTGGAAGACTGGGATGGGTAGCGCTTCCTGCCATCTCCCCCTGACGTCGTAGGGTATCTCTTGTGTCCACCTTCCTCCCCCATGGGTGGCTGGAAGAGAAGCACCCTAGTATCAGCACAGCCTCCTCCAAATGCAGATGCCCTCCCCCTGGATCAGAGATCAGCCCTTCCTGCAAACCTCCAGTTGCAACTTCTCTCCCTAACCCACCAGGAACACACATACTCACCCCAAGCACACAGCTGCCCTCCTCTGCCAATCTACTGCTGCCAGATTTGCTGACAGAAAGATGGACCGACTTCCAATCAAGCACAAGGGTGACAGCTTGCTCTTAGGCACCTCCTTCCCACACAGGGGCACAGTCCAGAAGTCTGAGAGCTGAAGCTCCACACAATGCTGGCTCTGCTCAAGCCATCAAGGCTCGCTTTTCTCCTCCCTCCTCAGCTCATCAGGGAAGATGGGCTCATCCAATTCCCCAGAAAGCTGCTCTGAAGTGGATTTGCAATATTCAAACCCTGCAGCTTGTTCCTGGCACAGCTGCAATGATAGGGCATGACACTAGGTGTCACTGACTTCCCCTGCCTGGCACTGCTTGGGGACCAGCCCCCCAAAATCCTCAGTCCTTGGAGGGGCCTGAGGGGTATTTTCAGGGGCCATCAGTGTGGTGCAGCCATTGTGTCTACTCACATCCACTCGGAAGTCCTCGAGGCGCTTGAACTTGCTGAGGTATTCTTGCAGTTTGCTGTTAATGTCCAGATTTTTGGCTTTGGAATATTTTAGGAAGGCCCAGAACTTTTCCAGCCCATAGAGCTGTCCTGAAGAGGAGGAAAACCAAACCAGATGTCAGCAGGGCAAAAATCAAACCAGCTGTCAGAACCCTTTCCTCCAGGCTTCCCCACCGCTTGCCCCACAGACCCTCCTGTCCCGCTGATGGGCACAACCGAGGCAAGATGGAGAACCTGGAGGGAAGCACCCTGCACCAGTAATGGGCAGCCCTCTTGACGGGGAAAGTCCTCAGGCTCGGCTGACCTGGTGGTGACAGTCACTTGAGAAATTGCAGGGCCTTGAGAAATCCTAGAGGAACCAGTGCCTCTAGAGAAATGTTTTGGGAGAGCTACAACCTCCCATTGCCCTCCTCCATCCCCCCAGCAGTTTTCAGGACAGTAAGCATCCACCCAACCCTGTCCCGTGAAGAGAGCAACAGGATGTCCAGCCAGTCCCCACTGCACACATTAGTGTACAGCATTACGTGGCTTCCCCAAAGTCATGAGAAGAGGCCCGGAACAGCCATGCAGTTGGGCAACATTGCTGCCAATCCCAGGGGAGGCCGAAGGAGGCACCTACCAGCTTCGTAATCCTTGATGGTCTCTTCTTGAAAGTCCTTAAATATGTCTGGCCGGAATTTCTTCTCCAGCCCGTAACTGTAGTATCTGAAAAGGCACTCCAGACCGTACCTGGGAACAGAGCAGCACGGGGTGCTCAGACACTGGTGCACACAACACCCGGGCAGAGAGACTCAAGGCAAGAGCCCCGCTGTGTACCAGCAGCAGGAGGTGACTGAGGGCAACCCCAGTCCTACCTTCAAGCAAAGCAAAGATGCTGCCTTTGTTTTGCTGTGAGCACTGCAAAAAGCCGAACTCTTCTTCCCGCACTCCCCTCCCAGGAAAGGCCACTCCACCTCTCGTCTCCTACCTACCTGTATCCCTCCTTCCCGTCCTCCACAGCCAGTTGCTTGAACTCTTCATACATTTTCTTGTTGAAGTGATCTCGGAGGAAGAAGGACCAGAACCGGAAAAGCGTGTTCATCTCCTGGGACTGACCAATGCCCAGTCGTTTCCGCTCTGTTTTGGGAAAAGGGGATGCTTACAAGGCAGATCCTTGCCCAGGGAGCCAGCTCTTGCACAGGGGCTCACGTACAGGAGGGCCCTATGGCACTGTGACTACACCCAGCCCCAGTGCTGGACACCCTGAGCCACAGCTCATGCTCGCCACAAACTGTGGGGAAACATCAGCTACCAGCAAGGTTGTCCTGTAGTACCCTGCTTATCTCTGTGTGCGTGCTCTGCAGCCGTACCCTGCCCGCCGATGCAGCACAGCACAGACACCCTGCCCCACACCTCACAGCGCAGGCATCCCTACCGTTAAGGCAGCGCCGACGGTACTTGTGGTAGACGTGTTGCGTGAAGCCATTCTCCTTGAGCAGCTCGTGCGAAGGATGCTGAAACTTGGGCAGGGACTGCGGGGTGCAGCCATAGCTTCCAACAGCCGGGGTCCCCTCCGAGGGGCTGGAGCTGAGCATGAGAGACTCCTGTCAAACCCCTTCCTTGGCATCACCCAGCTGACAGAAGAGTGGGGTCACACTCCACCCCACAGCACTTGTCTGTTGGTCCCACCAACTCCCTGTGACTGTCTACTCTGGGACCTGAGCCATGGGGTATCCTACTAGGAAGGGAACCAATGTTTCCAAACGAGTCCCATCTCGTTATTCCAAGGCTTCAGACTTTCCTCAGCTCCTTCTAGGAGGGACAAGTTGGGTCCCAGCCCTTTCTGCAGCCACCTAACAGGAGACCTCCCCTGCAAGACCAGACGCTGCCTTTCCCCTTCCTTCCCACACTCGTTCCCTTTCCCATTTCTGGCTCCTGTGTCACCTCATGTGCCTGTCTCTGGTACCTGATGGAGGCAGTTCGGGGCCTGTGTTCCCGAGAGTCCATCACCCAGCCCACGTGGCACTCCATTGGGGGGTTCGAACTGTGCCTCGTCTTCCTCTTCCGCGGGGTCTGCAAGACATGGTGCATCAGGGATGTGTCTCCTTCCTCCCCAGGACCCAGCTGGGAAACCCCAGCTCCCATTGTGCACCCCAGCCCTGGTCCCACCTTGGCATCTATCGTCCTGCCCTCTTTCACCACTGGGTAAAACCGGGGCGTCTGTGTAGGGTCCTTCAGCTGAGGCGTGCGAGGAGTCCGGGGGGTCCTGGCGTTGCGGTAGTTGGGTGATTCTGGTACAGTCGTAGGCAAAGACCGGGCAATGGTTGAAGGCTCGGGGACTCCAAACAACTTGTTAGCCAAAGCGTCTGTAGGTACTGCAAAGAGATCCCCCACCCACCATGGGTCAAGCTGAGTTCTAAGCACAAGAGCATCACTACAGCCAAGGGACATCCATCTGGCGGATGGGAAGCAGCAGGGGCAGGAATGCAGGGACACATCCCAGCCCTCGGAGACAAGCAGCTTCAAATCCAGCAAGTCACCAGCTTGGCCAGATAGCCCAAAGCCTAGCACCAGATCCAAGGACTGAGCTTCCAGGGATCCCACAAGGTATCTGCTTCCTAGTGGCTAACAGCAGTGACAAATCCCCCATTCCCAAGAGAAGGACAGGGCAGCAGGTGCCACACACAGGCAAACAAATCCCAGCAGGCAGCTGCCTTCCAGGTACTCAGGGAGGGTCCAAGAAGAAAGTCACATCCAGGGGACTACATCAAAGTCTGCCAAGGTTTTCTCACTCAACTGGGACACCCCTGCTTTTGGGCCTCCTCTTCTGGAGCCCCAAAACATTCAGCTGGGAGACAACCATTGCTCTGGGAAAGATAATCCCACACACCTGTGGCCCCAATTTCTTCTCCCCAGCTGCTACCCAACCTCTGAGGACCTCTCACCAGGAGGAAGAGAGACAAATTCAGTCTTGCCCATTCATGCCCCTTGTCTCTTACCTTGCTGGAACCTGGGGGGACCAGGAGGGACTTCCTGGTTTGGATCCACAGGGGGCTCTGGGGTCAGGGTGTCAAACTGCTCCCTGCTGATCATATTCACCTTCTTGAAGTTCTCCACCTCTTGCTGCATTGGAAGAGGAAGATGATGAAGCAACCAATTGCCCTCTTCTCCCCTCATCCCATCAGCTCACCGTGACCACAGCTCTGCTTGTGCAACAGCCACTACGCTGGGCACGACAAAACTGGGCATTGCATGGGCCAGATCTGAGCCACTTCGTGCTCCCGAGCTTTCAGGGATACTACAAGACAGCTCCACTAATCATTGCTTGCTTCTTTCAGTCTTTTACCCACCCAGGCCAGTGCCGGTGCAACGAGGTTCAAGGCAAGCTCGGTAACCCATGCTTGGCGAGGACACCATTGCTCCTGCCATCTTCTTGCATCCCTAGAGCCTCCTCCCTGGATTCTCACAGCCACACCGGCAGTGGGGCACAATGCTCCCATGTATTTGAAGGATCCATACCGCAAGCACACACTGTCCTTCTGTCACCTGCTCTGCCTGCACCCTCAGCTTCTGCCACCCCAGAGAGCAGACCGCCTCAGCAACGTGCCAGGTACCAGACATGGGAACACTGAGCCCAGCTGGTAGCTCCAACAGGCCATCCCACCTCACAGCCAAAATAATTTCCGTTGCTGAACGAGTCTATGCAAGTCCCTGACCGTGAGAGTCGCCAAGTTGGGACCCAAATGTTTCAAAGCAGCAGATGGGCTTTCTATAAAAAGCCCAAGTCTATGCAAACTGGCACCAAAATGGAGAAGAGCACAGGCCAAGTGCAGCCCAGCCATCTATGAACTTGTCCCCAGTAAGCGCAGTCTCTAAGGGACCGTGCCATGGAGTGCTGGACACTATGGACAGTGCAGAGACACCTGTTTCGCCCCATAGATCTGGCACTGCCTGCCAAGACCATGGCAGACAGCAGAGCAATGGGCCCCATGTTCCAGGTCACCTCATTATTGGTGCTTTGTTTACCTGGCTGCAGCCTCACACTACGTTACAGAGCTGTGTTTATCCCTGATACAGTAGAGCATGACGCTGCGAGCCAGGAATCCCAGGCTCTGCAAGTGGACTAACCCTGGTTTAGCTCTAACCCACGAGTGGGCTGTAACCTGCTGTACTGCCCTTTCCACCCCTCACCAACAAGGTAGCCAGCCTGCTGCACATGAGGTGCTGTGTGCTCCACACGCACTCCCTTCTTTGGATCAACCACTCTCACCTTGATCTGTGAATACTCCGGCTCAAACTGCTCTGTCCACAGGTCCTGCTCGTAGTAGTACAGCCCATCATTGATCACCTTGGCCAGCTCTGAGCTCATTTTAGCCCTGGATGTGTGGTTGCCAGTCCGGTCCCCACCAGGATGCCGGCGCAGGTAAGGAGGTGTCTGCGTCACGATGAGGATCTTGTTCACATCCCGATCGTCGATCTCGTAATCCGAATCTTCATCTGACCAGTCAGTGAAAGTGTTCTTGCGGCCATCCATCTGCTCCATCTCCTCGTCGAAGAGGAAGTCTAGCTCCTCAGGTTCGTCTTGGTCCTTTTGCTTTTGCTGCTGCAGCGTCTTTGACTCCTCTGGTTTCTACAGGTAGGGGGGCAAGGGTGACACAGAGTGAAGACCACATAGCAACACAAGCCTACTGCTTGGAGACCCAACTATTACCCCTTGTCTGCCCACTGCAGCCAGAAGCTGCCCACCTGGGGAGAACGCTTTATTTACACCACTGAGGAGCAGCTCCAGAGGGGATCAGATGGGGCCAGGACAGTCTAGGACATCACACCCACGACCATCAAACCCTATTGGATCTGAAACCTGCCTATTTATGATTCGAGTCACCCAGACAACTGGGAGACCCCCACCCTGACAGCTCCTACATCACCACCTACCTTGGGCCTGGCTGGGGAGGGCCGAGGTCTCTTCTTCACTTCAATCCACGTCTCTGAATCCAGGTCTGGCAGACTTGCAGACAGGCCCTTGGGCATCGTCTTCAGGTTACTGACCTCCTCTGTTTTGGTGGGGACTGGGCTGGCAGGACGCGGGGACCCAGGAGCAGACTCTAGAGCCAACAAGAGCCATAGGGTGCTTTAGAGGGAGGGAGGGAGCCTAGGGGTTTGTGTACTTAAAGCACCCAACTGAAGAGGTGGTTTTTTGGCAGCATGACACAGCTTGCAGGACTAGCTAGTATCCAGCAGCCAAGGCTCATGAGCACACTCACCACAAGTGCTGGGGCGGGGAGGGGGGAAGTCTCTGATTAAGGCTCTGGTGCCGGTGGTGGCCACAGAGCTCTGCACGTGACAGTTCCCCAGACACACAAAGCCCTAAAAGCAGGTGCTCTGTTGCTCTCGGGAAACTTTCCCAAGACAGTCTGGAGCCCTTGGGAACAGATCTTCTGCCAAAACTAACTCTTATGACAGCACCAAGAAGATCCTCCACTTGGCCTCTCAGGCCCAGCCCTGGGCTCCTGCCAGCCCCCATGGGATGGGGTGACAAGAGTAGGGGTCAGACCATGAAGGACAGCAGACCCTTCCCCAGCATGTGGTTGACAGCTCCATACCTGCTGCCCCATTTGTGCCCAGTATCTCCTCACCCATTAAGGAAAAGTTGGGTTCATGAGTGTCCTCTGCTCTGCCCAGAAGCAGTAGAGTATTTCCAGGCACAGCCGAGAGAATTCCAGCAGGACTGACCCTCCCTGACTCCCTTCAGTCCCCGGCAGAGCAAAAGCCACAGACTCAGTCTCTTTCATGTGTCCCCACGTACCAAGACAGCAGCACTCTGGGGCTCTGAGGACAGAGCCCATACCAGCTCCCACCACCAAGGAGAAAGTAAAGGGCAGAGCCCTGCCCTGGGGAACACTCCTGACTCTCAGGTCTCAGTCCTGCTGCAGTACCAACACTGCATCCCACACCTCCCTCCACATTCCCCCCAGTGCTCACCTGTCTCTTTCTGGAAGCTTTGCCGGGGCACAAATTCAGGGCAGTTGATGAACTGCGAGAAGTCCGTCTGTGTGTAGTCTGCCATAGGAGGGCCAGGCAGAGCCCATTTTTCTGGCTGCTCTTTTCTCCTGATCTTCTCGTCCACGATTTCCACCACCTTGCTGTCCTTCAGAGCCTGGAACCAAGTGATACCCGGTTAACTTAGGGCCCTGCCTTGGCACCTTGAGTGGCTCAGCCCCAACCCTTCCAAGGGACCAAGAGGAGGAGGGAGCCAGTCAAGGACAAAGGCAGGCTCCACTTGCATCTCACCCATAGCCCATCTAGAAAACAGGCCTCAGACAGGGGTGGCAAGAAGCAGAACAAGAAGGGAAGTTCATCTTTCCTTGCCCTCACCTTGATGATGAGGCTGATGTCGGTGGTCAGAGCCTGCACCCGGTGGAAGCTGGCAATCAGGGTGATGGGAAGGAAGCCGTCTGAGTCCATCTTGCGACGCAGGAAGAAGTCTCGCTCCAGGTTGTCCACGCTGAAGTAATATTCTCTGTATGGACAACACATCATTGAGTGGCAGCTCCAAGCCACCTTCCTCTGGGCACCCCCAAGGAAATAATCCCCCACACATGCTTCTGCTACTGCGAGGCTGAACAAAGACAGCCTGGGGAGCCCAGACTTGGGGCAAGCTGGTGCTATAAGCTGTGTGGCACAAAGTCAACGCACCTTGGCTCTAAGCCTATGCATGGGATTAGCTATGCAGTCTGCAGGGAGGGCATCTGTGAACATCCCACCAACAACCAATGCTCAAACAAGAAGAGGTGGTGCTTACATCTGCCGCTTGATGTAGTCTTTGAGCAGTTCCTGGTCCACGCTGTAGAGCTCGGCACTGCTGATGTTGTCAAAGTAGTAAGTGATGTTGCTAGCGTACTTCTGGGTGCGGGAGCCATCCGAGCCCTCAAATTTCCGGTACCCATACTGGTAGTCAAAGTGCCCTGTGGGACACCAGTAAGGGTTAGCACAAAGCCCCTGGGATCTGCTAGACAGGCTGCACTTCCAGATGGGGCCGGAATCGTGCACAAATAGCTCCCTCTGCACTGTTCCTGGGGCCACCATAGCAGCCCAGAACGGGGCATCACTCACCCACATCCCTCATCCTCCTGCTCTCAGCCTTTGCTGCAGAAGGGATCACAGCGAAGCTTCAACACACCAAGCCAAAGAGAGGTCAGGAGCCCTCTTACCCAGGAGCAACTAGGCAGCCCAGGTGACACACAAAGGCCCTACACTGAAGCTGCGTCAGGGTTAGCACAGACACTGCCCTGTCAAATGCCAGTGCAGATGCTCTTCCCCATCCAAGCCATGACTCCTGCTTGGCTCTCAACATGACAAAGCCTACACCGAGTATCAGCATGCTTCAACTCCTGCATGCAGGGGTACTACAAGGGGCAGAAAACAGGTGGAAGAGCTTGGCCTGAGTAGCAGAAAGACATTTGCCTTTATTAAGATACTAATGAGAATAATTTGCTTTTATTAAAAGCACCTCAACTTACCAGCTGGGATGACCTGCCACAATATTTCCCTGCATCCCCACCGCGCTCTGCCCTCCCCAGCCTGCTTTGGAGCCCCAGGTCTCACACACACACTCCCAGAGCCCTGCACACTTCAACATATGCCCTGTTCTCTCCCTGCCGCCACAAGACCACACATACAGCGATCACCTCCTCTGCCACGGCCACGGCCCCTGCCGCGGCCACGGCCTCGGCCCCGGAAGGTCCCTCGCACAGCTCCTCCCTCGCTCTTCACGCTGGAGGTTTCATCATGGTCCTGCCAGCTGCGCTCGTGCTTGTTGTCCGGGTGCCAGCCTGCAGCAGACAGGGAAGGAGAGGCAGGAGGATTGTTACGGGATGAAAGCACCTGCCTGGAGCAAGCCCGCTGCACCTGGAGCCCTTTGAACGCAGGAAGCGTGCCCACCGCCCCATGCCATGCCTGGGCATCAGGGCTTGCTCTGCCCTGCAGCCAGGGCAGGGAGAGCGGGTCCCCAGCCTGAGCCCCCACCTTTCAGCTCGCTGCGGTTGTTGGAGGGGTGCCTGTGCTGCTCGTTTTGCCGGTTGTTCCGAGAGGCCGTTTTGTCCCTAGGCACCTCTGACTTCATGTCTATCTGCAAAGGGACCCACTTGTGTTTGTTGCCTGCAAAAGGACAGGGTTTGGGTGTGACACAGGTTCAGAGAGCGTCTGCTTCCTCCCCCGCAGCCCCCTCTTGCCACACAGCCCCCACATATGGAGGAGAGAAAGCAGCAGGGCCTTTTGGACTGACCCTGTCCTCAGACATCCCTCCAGGCCTCACTGGATGCAGAAAGGCTCCGACCGGGACTCTTGGGCATGGAGGGACATGACACAAAACTCCCTCGTTGCTTCAAGGCACTTATCCTTCCTCTGCCCCTTTCTGCCTGCTGAGCCCCAGGCCAGACCGAGCCTGCCTGTCAACCACAGCTGATGCAACCAAGTCAGGGGCTCTTCTGTGCCACCACGGAGCACACGTGAGAGAGCAGACTATGGCCACGCTCCCCAGACACACATATGCCCCTGCTTGGGCCCTGCTCCACCTGCTCCCACCAAAATGACGCTTTGTCCCCTTGAAGCCTGCAAACACCTTTTCACCACAGCTGTCCCCGCGCTGGGACCATGTCCTGCAGCAAGGCCCCCAGGGAAGGTGATGGACCCTTCCACCTGGCTGTGGGTCGCAGAGGTGGTGACAGGCTGAGTCCAGGGGACTGTCCCCACCAGGTCCTGCCTTACCTTTCTTCTTCTGGGCTGACTTCTGGTTGTCGTCGTCTCCATTCTTCTCCTCCCCAGACTCATCCGATTTGGTTTTCAGGCTCTCTTTGCCGTCGCTCCCATCCCCTTTCTCCTGCTCTTTCATGTCTTTCTTGACAGGCAGTTTCCGGAGGGATGGTGCTTTGTGCGGCTGCTGGAGACACAGCAGTGCAGGAAAGATGAGAGGTGGGAGAAATGAAGACCTGGAGGCAGACCCCAGCTGTCCCAGCAGGAACAGGAGGACCTTGCCCTAGGCTAGAAGCACCCCTGCTCCCTGCCTCCCAGATCTGTCCTGTTCCTGGGAAAGGGCTTATGTCTGAGCAGGGCAAGGGCCTCTACAGATGCCGGGAGCTGCTCAAGCTGAGACGCAAGCCCCAGGCACAGAAGTTACCGAAAAGGACTGCCAGGGAAGCCTGGTGCTCCTGCATGGGGGTGTCCTACAAGGGACCGGACTGCCCCAATGACAAAAGGGTGAGTGACCCTCATGTCCTGACAGACAGCCAGGAGCTGGCAAAGCAGCATCCAAAAATAGAAAGGTTTCAACGACACCCACATCCCTAGCAGGAGAGGAAGGCCAGGCCCCTAAGGCACACAAGCCCTTTCTCACACATTTTCAGTTCCTCCTGTGGAAGTCTTGACTGTTGCCCAAGCCCCTTCTTGCACTGAGCAGCCCTGAGGAGAATGGGTCTGGGAGCTGCCCTACCTGCTTCACCCAGCCGAGGGGTTTAGCCTGGGCTCCAGGCTCCCAGAATAGCACTGAGGGAGGGAGCCCGACGCACAGGGCAGCCCTAAAAGGAAATCCCCTGCACGCTATTCCTGGCTGCCTCCGCGGTGACACTCAGGACCCCAAATGGCCCGGCTCAGCCAGCACTCCCAGCACCACAGAGGGACGGGAAGCTCTGCAAGGGCTTTATCCTGCTTACGGGAGCGATTTTGTGTTCTCACCTGGATGCTCTTGTGGGCTATTTCTCCAGGTGTTGGCCAATTTGTGGCATCACCGAAGTCACCAACCTTGTATCCAAAGAGAAAGGTCTCATTAGCACACAAGCTGCAGGTGCTGTTCCCTGCATCAGCAGCCAGAAGCCCTTCCAGCTACACTGTCACAGCCACCACCCACCGCTGTCCTGCAGACGGCTGTCCCCGGGAGGTTTGGGGGTGACACCCAAGCTGCATATATACAGCCCCCCTCCCTACCCAAGCAGGGCCCCCAGTTTAATCCCAAGTAACTGCAGACAAGTTTGTGTCGATCAGGGATCGTAATCAGGCTGCCACCAGCCCCATAAGCTACGAGCATCCCAGCTCCCACCAAACTTCTTGCCCCAGCAGCAGCATTTGGCACCAAGCCACCTGAGGTAACTCACTCATCATAGGCACTGTCCCTTGGACAGGGAAAGCACACAGCTTTAGCATCCTAAACCCACCTGAAGCAGCTACACTCCATTAAAGAAGCTGCCCCCACCTAGTAGCAGGTTACAGCCAGGCATAGCTTCACTTAAGTGCTCAACTGCAACCAAGTGCTGGCAACAACAAAGCAAGGGATCATTTAGTAGAATTGATGGGAAAATTCAAGCAGGTATGTGATGGTGATGGGAGCTCCCTCATTCCAAACACCCCATGGCCACATAGGGGACCACCAGTCACTTTTCTGCTGAATAGGTGAGCTGGCCACTACCATCACTTCTACCTCCCCCAGGTTTTAGAGAGGACCTGCAGGACAGAGAGGAAAGGACCCAAACAGCTGCCCAGGTACACGATGAATCATGGCTGGGCATTGAGTTTAAGATTATCCAGGCACAGAAACTCCTCCTTGCACTTATGGAGTTATTATTTCTAGATTAATTTGGAGTCAGAGTCCCTCAGGAGATCACATCTCTACATTCAAGTGCCATGCTCCTCTCCCCAGAAGGCAGCTTTCCTGGGAAAACTACCTCCAGTGCAGGACCATGCCTCTTTCACAGACAGGAGCACCTTCCATCCCCAGGGCCCTCCTCTCCCTGAGATGGAACAGTTAAGGAAAGTCATATCAAGTTACAGATGCATCTTCACTGGCTGCTGGGAGCCAACACCAAAAGCCCACATCCCTAGCTGTGCCCCAGCAGCATGCAACATCCTCAGAAGCAACTGTCCCTCCATCACATGTTGATCCCCTGGAACAGATTGCCCCGATTCCTCCAAAGGAGTTGCTTTGTTTGAAGTCAATTACGCTGGCTCTCCGTGTGTCAGTAAAGAACAGATTGCACAGGGAAGAAAAGACCTGCAGACACACCACTCTGTCACACCGCCACCCTGTCTGCACTGCAAAGCAGGGCACTGGCTTATTGGGGTGTCCTTGTGATGGGGGAGAGGCTTTCCACATCCAGTGCTGTGCTCCAAGTGCCCCTCTGTGAGAGGGGAGGTGAGAAGGTCTCCCCTAGCCTAGCTGGGCAGAAAACCAGGCAGGCAGCATGCAAGACCACTGAAATGCTGAAGAGGACATGGAGAATCAGAATGTTCTCGACACTCTTGCAAGCATCCAAGCCAGCACATCAACCCCTCCACAATCAGGCTGGCGAAGGAAGCGGTCTGCTCACCAGACCCTCAAGATGCTCATGCAGTGTTGACAACTGCACCAGAAGCTGGTAGCCAGTGAGGGGGACAGCAGGCATGGCCTTACCTTGCTTCCTTTCCGCTGTCTCGGGTTGGCAGCCCTCACCACTTTTGCAGGAGTTGTATGTTCTACAAAAGAAGGAGAACAAAACTGTTAAAACGCAGCTGAGGGTTGTGGAAGTGTTAGCTCTAGAGGGAAACAGGTGGGAAGCAAGCCAGCTCCCCCTTCAGCAAAGAGGGGCTAAGAGGAAAAGGTGAACAGAAAACAGAGCCAGCTCCTGACCTGTGTCTCAGAAGGGCCCCATCAAGATCAGACAACTGATCAATCCAGGTAGCCAAGAAATGGACCTTTAACACCATCCTGCCACAGGAAGGCACTCCCTGACTTAGCTCAGACCTCCCCACTTAGCCCTGCCAGCCAGGGAGGAGGGGTGGCAAGGAGTTCAGCTCACTCCGTAAAGCACCACGCAGAACAAGATCAGCTGTTTTGCACAGCAAAACAAACATGCCCTTGAACAGGCAAGGCCCATCACCACGCCAATGTGGCCAGCCTTCCCCAGGGAGCAAAGGAGGGCTCTGATGGAGGGACGTGCAAACCTGCAGCACATGGGTGCTGCTCAACTTGTGCTTTGATCTCCAGTGCATTGCAGCACAGGGCAGCAAGTTCACATGGGGGAACGTACAAAGAGAAGGAGCCAGATCTGGGAAGTGCCTAATCCTGCTACAGCCAAAAGTATTTAGGCACTTGAGTGCCTCTGGGGTGTTTTAAGGTATCAGAATGCAACTGTCGGGGTTCACACCACCATGGACCTCACACAAGACCTGCAGCAAGTCAAGACCTCAGCCTCACCATGACCTGTCTTGGCTCCTGTTCACACACCACCTCCATACAAGCAGAAGAAGAAATTTTGACTTGTTTTCTCCCTCCTAGGTTTGGCTGCAAGGTCTCTGGACCCGGAGCAGGCTTACACAGGGCACACGCAGAGTCCAACAGAACAGCACGCCACTGCCTAACACACACCAGCCCCGCAAGGACCACATAGGAGGGTCTCCTCCCCAACAGCAGCGTTCCACCGGGAGAGGAGAGCCCACCAGCCCCTCCCTTGAGGAGCAGCCCATGCCGGTGCCATGGACCTGGAAGGAGCGAGCATTTCTGCTGACTCTGCTGGCTTTGTTTCCAAGAAAAGCACCCCAGACTAGGGTGGGGGGCAAGGGTGGGAGGGACGTGCAGAGAAGAGCCCAGAGGCGCGACACAGGCTATCTGGGGATGCCCTGGGAAACACCCTGAATAGCCTACCTACCCAGCTGTACTCAAAGCTGGCTTTGATCTCCTGCATAAAGCAGGACAACTTTACCTAGATGATCAAAACCGGTCCCCTTCCTAGCCTTGAAACCTGTGATTCATCCTGCCAGCCCAGCCTTGCTCAGAGCTGGAGGCTTTGAAGTGTCAATAAGGCAGTCAGACACGGCACGACAGAGCCACGTGCACTCCCCTTCGCCAGTTCCCTTCCCCAAGGCTCCTGCATGGGGATTTTACACCCAGGAGAGCCCAAGCTCTCAGCTAGGTCGCCAAATCCTCCCCTTTCTTCCCCAGACCTCCCCAGCCCACCTGCACTGCTTCCCCCCCAAGTGCAGCGGCAGTCCCACGTGTCCCTCATTTATTCCACGTGCACCTCATTGAGAATCCCTGTTTAATGGCACAAAGCTTGCCACAAGGCTTTTAAACTTTCCTGCTAGTGTAGGAAGAGCAAGCGCTTTCAAAACAGCCCCTAAAATCCTCCACTCAACGCCCACAGATGTCACCAACTAAATATAGCTTCAAAAGCCACCAAGTGCTACAGCACAAACCCGCAGCCAGCCCAGTTTTCCACAGGTATGGAGCACCTCTGCCTGCTCCAACAGCACTGACATGCCTGGCAATCCAGAAAAAAATAAGCGAACTTGCTCTGCAGCCTGATTAGGCACCGATCTCTCTGGCTAGGGAAGAGCAGGGCTCCCTCTCACTGTGAGCATCCCACCCGGGCACCTACTCCCGCCACACGGCAGCCCCGGGGTTCGCAGCAATGGCATCCAGCCCTTTTCTCCAGCTGCTTCAGCTCAGGAGCCTCATGGCCACAGATGTGCTCGTGCTTTTTTGGGGACCAAAGAGAGGCCCTCTCACAACCTCTCCTGAAAGAGGATGCAGGGGCACAGGCTGCAGCGGCGGGTGCCACAGACTCCCATCATCTTTGCGAGGGAGGAGGTTGTTTGAAACAAGTTCTGCTAGTTTCCTTATCTGCGAGATAGGAACAAGGATCCCTTATCTGAGGTGCTGAGAAGACTAATTAGCATTTGCAGAGCACTGCGGAAGACAAAACACAAAGCAAAGCGCTGCAGCCTGGCAGGGAGGCTGCTCCAGGGAGCGCAGCCAGGCCAGCACCAGCACCGCAGCAGGGGCTGCAGGCGGCTCTCGCCAGCCTGGATGGAGTCAAGATCTGCAAGTCATGGTAGAGATGCTCAGACCAAGGCAGGAGACTGAAGACAGTGTGACTATGCTAGTGGGTAGACAAACACACCACCCACAGGGCCAAGGGCCATGGCGAGCAGAAGCTGTGCATGCCTGGCACCCTCCAGGGCATGTCAGCCTAACTGAGGGCCCCAGCTCCAGCCCATCAGCCATTCTGTAGTCAAGCTCCTGGACATCAAACCCAAAACTACTCATGTTCCCTTGCAGACACTACTAGCAAACTCTAGTTTAAAAAACCCAAACCCAACCCACCCAAACCACATTTAGGCTAACCCAGGTGCTCAGGCTTCAGAAGAAAACCTTCGTATCAGGACAGCAGCACATCTTGTGGTGCACAGCTGAAAAGACCCCCTTGCCCAAACCCTGCTGCAGGAAAACCCTGCTGCCCTTCATCACTGCATCAACCTGGGAAATAGGGAGCAAGCGGGTGTTGCTCACCCCCACACAGGAGCTCAGGAAAAGTAGTGCTAGTGGGGGATGCTAGATACTGCCCCGGTTGATAGCTCAACACCTAAAAGCTGCTGACAGATGTCTCAGACCTGCCAGCATTTCACAAACCTCCTTTTGCATTTATTTGGTGGCAATAAGGAATTTTCAGTTCCGCCAGCACCAGCTGACTGCCCCTGCCAAAAAACTGGGCCCCTCCATGCGAGAGGACAGACTAAACAGCTGCAGCAGGAGCTGGGGCTTTAGTGGTGTGAGACTGGCAAGGGGACAATGGGCAGGGAAGGAAGGAGCGGCTTTGCCTGCGGCCACAGAGCAGATGCTGGCACAGCCAGGAACAGAAAAGCATGTCTCGAGTTTTGATCTGCTGCCTGCAGCCAGAACCAGATCATTTGCCCATGGGGTTGCCCAGCCAAGAGGAGGTTATTTCTTAACAACCAAGGGGACAAGGCACAGGTGGGAGCATGGCAGCCTCAATGCCAGTATTGCGGCCAAACGCCTCCCACGGCCAAGGCACAGCCAAAGCATTCACTGGTTTTTGCTGCTCACTCCCCAATGCACCCAGCAAGCACCAAGAAGGGCAAGGCTGCGCAGGCACCTTGTGCTTTCATTGCAGCCCGTGGCGGGCTGTGGCACAGCAGACCTTGAGGCAGAAGCTCACAGGGGCGTCCAGGTGAGCAAACGCCTCATACCTGGAAGGAGAAGAGCCATTGCACAAGGACCAGTCAGCCAGGGTGACAGCTGGTCCACAGCTAAACGTGTGTGTCCCCGACGACCGCGGCCCACCAAGAGGGACACGTGCCGTAAGACCACTGAGCTTGGCCTAGGAGATGTATTTACTACCTTACCCGGGAAAATCAAACCCAATGCCCGCTGGCCTGGTTCCCTACCTTTTCTTACATCCAATGCAGCTTTATAATGGACTTTTAGAGAAGGTGGCATAAATCTGCATGGCTGGGCAGAGACCTGGCATTATACTGCAGAAATAACTGCATCCTCTAGCAAGAAAGCTGTAGTGCCTGCTCCTGGCATACCTACCACTCATGGGCACTGTAGACAAGGCTCAGAGCACCCCAGCACCAGCTGGGACAGCCTCAGAGGGCAGCCTGGGCTCCCAGCAAGAATGCAGAGTCCTCAGCTGCGGCACACGCTCTGTCCCTGACACAGCACACCCCTCCTTCCCCGGCAGCCAAGTCAACAGAAAGGAGCCGGCCTGCCCCCAAGCTCCTCCAGCCCACAGCCTGGCACCTAGGAGAAACTGCTGATGAAGGTGGTTTTGAAGCCAAGAGCCTGGACTTTGCGCTGGAGAGGCTGAAGCAGGAGCGCATGCTCCATACCGCAAGTCCTGCTGGGGCTGGAAGAGCCAAACTGGTATCCCCAGTTAGCCCAGAGCCCTGGCAGGAGCCCGCGGGTGCCACACAGGACAGCCTGCCACGTGCCCAGCAGTCCACTGGGATCCACTTCACTGCTCAACAGTCTCCCAACAATCCTCCCTCCTTCCAGTGCTCCACGGGACAGTCTTGGCGCATGCAAGGACCACAGCTCATAACCAACACGACTGGACACCCGCTCTGGCAATGCTTCTTCAAGGTCTCTAGGTGAGAAGGAGCAAGTGCAGCTTGGGCAAGGGCGAGCTAAGGCCTGAGCAGCCTGAGCAGGCTGCAAGTGAGAGGGGGAATAATGCCCCAGTCAAAATGACACGGCAAGGAAAAGGTATTGCATTAACCTCCTGAGAAACCAACGGACATGCAGGTATGACAGCTTCTGAGGAGAGTAAAGACAGAAATCATTAGACAGCTTACACTGAAGAAGACTACTACTCACTCACACTATTTGTATATACATGCTCATTGTCCAGGCAGAGAAAATCAGCCTGGGAATTAGCCGTTTCCCCTGGAGATAGCTAGCTCCTTCAGAGTCTTTCCAGGAGGGCAGGAGAGTCCCTCCTGGAGTACAACACACATGACAGACATAGTGGGACAGCACCAACCTGCAAAGCAATCCCCCTAAGAAAGAGGGACCCAGCAGGCGGCCGGCCACAGGCAAGCCCACCAGGACCCCACTGTGGCTGCAAGAATCCCCGTGCTGGCCCCAAAGGAGACCTAGGGAGCCAACAGAGAATAGCTGCACAAAGGTGTATCCCCATCTTGCCAACATGGGCAACTCAGGGCACCAACCCCATTCCTGTCCTTCCTCCAGGCCTCAAGCAAGCTCTCTGCCAGGGCAGCCTGATCCACACAGTAGCAGGGGCACGATACTAATTCAGATGCTCTCCTGTAGCACTCATCACTGCCCATGCACTCGAACTCCATGACTTGGGGTTTGAGCCTGACCGAGCCATCAGAGGACAAAGCCGGTGAGCTTTGTGCCCACCAACACCACACCTTCTCCAGAGACATTTGCAGGATCAGTCCTGCAGGCCAGATGTGACCTACAAGCAGACAGCAGCCTTCCCCCTCCCACCAGCAGCCCGCCTGCTGCAGACAGTGCTGAAGGTTTTTCTTGTTGAGAGTCCGTCCCATGGAGGCCCCCCCTGAAGTTACAGGCAAAGAAGCCTTGAGGGACAGGCAACACTTTCTGTCCACCTCTCGTGGCTGCTGTACCTGTTTCTTCATCAGCAAGACAGCAGCAGTGGGCAACACACCCTTATTGTAAAGGGGCTGGGAAGCATGGGCAGACAGGAGGGGACCTCAGCCTTCCCAGGGAGCAATTTAGTAGCACCCCTGTGTGCAGAAAGAGGTGCAGATACCTCCAGAGACCAAGTAGCAGCTTCTACCTCTGCCTGCCTCCCAAGGAGCTGCTCCCAGCACCAGCATCAGCCATGTGTCAGAGCTAATGCCAGACTGAGATGGGAAACACTTGTCTCTGCAGCTCCACACGTAAGTGGAAAAGCCTGGGATTTATAGCACTGACTGCATGGCATGCTCACATTCTGAACACATCATAAGGTACACAAAACCAGCAAGGTTCAGGGCAAACTGGGCATGCAGATTGCACCTCCTCTCTGTTTGCAACATTTTATGGCTCTACCTCCTTCCAAATCACAGTCGTAGCCAGAAGTGCATGCATGGAAGGGGAAATCAAGGGAGCTCTGGATGGAGTTCTCAACAGCTTTAAATGAGATATTATCACAAGGACATCTTCCAGCATAAGGGAGTCAGTGTCTCCACAACAAGGGCTCCCACCTGCTCCTGGGGACAGCAGAGAATCACAGCTGGCCCCACTGCCTGCAGCACATGGTCTCGCAGCTCCCAGCTGGCAGCACAGCATCTGGCCTTGTTACCAAGGTAAGAGGGATATTTGCAACACCTTTGCAATATCAGAAGTGTCCTGCACGTGCAAGAAAAAACTGCAGTAGAATGGGCAAGGTCAGGACCAAGCAGAAGACTGGATCCTTAAGCTGCATGGCTGAGCAGGATTCAGGCTTGTAAAGCATGTGGGAAGCCTGTTCAGCAGGAGCAAGAGACAAGCTGCAGGCACCATGGCTCAAAGCCTTCCAAGCAATTTTCTGCAGCTCCTCAGCAGACAGCTCCACCTTACAAGCCCTAGTGTAACAGCAAAGGAAGCAGGGAGCTGCCTACACTTCTCTGCAATGTAAGCTCTGCAACTGCTGCAAAGATCACTCACTAAAAATAACTTCAAAAAGGGCATCTGACAGCTCTGCAGAGAGCATGAGAACACTCCCACCTGGGTGTCCTAGGCAGGCTCCGAGAGCTCGGGAGTTCGCCCTGGAAAAGTGCAGGGAAGGATGCCAGGGGGACAGGCAGGTTCAATACAGCGTGCTGGGACAGCACTGTCATGGGCTCAGAGTGTGGGCATCAGAGTTATACTCCCAGCTTTTCAAGCCCTCACATCCCTCAGCTGATACTCCCAAGACAGCTCCAGAGCAAGGGGAGCTAAAGCAGCTCAAGACTGCGAAGTGCGGAGCCTGTCTCTGCTGACAGCACCCTAGACCTGGACAGAGACCTCTAGAGCAAGCAGGGGAACCAGGTGTGACACAGCCCTGGTCACAGGGAGCTGATGAACAGTATTCCTTTTTAAATGCACGTAACTGTTACAAGCTCTGCACACACAAGTTATCTGCAGGGTCTGACTTTTATTTCCAGGGCAGATGACGGGCAGGAAGGGTCTGGACTTACCAAAGATGCATAACCATCCTCCCTGCAGCCTCCCAGTCCAAGACAGAAACCTTCAACTTGTGGCCAAGCTACACTCCAGAAGGACCGAGTTAAGAAATGCCAACAGGCATTTCTAACACTAACAGCGTCAGTGAGGGCACCATGGATACTTCCTGGCACAGATGGCTACTATTAAAGGTAGCAAATGATCTTTCTCAAGGCCAAGTGACATCTTTCCACCACCTTTTCAAGCAACGCTCTTCCCTGAAGAGGATTTCTAGGAAACTTTTGACACACAATCCACGCTCACACCACCGCACCGATCCCTGGGACACCAGGTTCACGCAGAATGAGACAGCACAGGAAGCCCCCTGGTTTTCTAAGGAAAACTGAGCCCTAAATGAAGGGGTGTCTCCTGGGAAAGCCAGTGGTTCCCAGACCCCAGGAGGCATTGCAGTAGGGATGCAGCCAAGGTCACCCAGCTGACCGGACTCCAGAAACTGTCAAAACGAGGGAGCTGGGCTGGTTCAGGCCCCCCAGTTGCTGAGCCACCCTGCTCTCCCTGAGCAGGGAGAAAGGCACCCATCACCCCACCACCCCTGCAGGACAGGCTACTCCAGCACCAGTGCCTGACCCAGCTTGTCTGGTGCAGACAAGTCTCCAGACAGCAGAACATTTAGCCAGTGGAAAAGAGAAAAGCCTCTGAGGACACTTGCAAACACTCTGTCAGGTTAAATGGTTCAGGGAGAAGGGCTGGAAAAGCCAGCAGCGCTCCCGGTCAAATGCCGCGTCAGTCCGTCATGAGCAGGCTGGGGCCCCTGAGAAAAGGCATGAGCTGATCCAGCTGCCGCTCAGCAAGGACACCTCGGCGCTGGGAGAGGAGGGTGCCCGAGGCAAGGCTGCAGGGGCCCAAGGGCATGCAGGCAGGCCAAATCGTGGAGGAGCCAGAGGGTCAGGCTCTCCTCCAAGCCGGCTTGGAGACCAGCTGATAGTTTGGGACCTACAAAAAAGAAAAAAAAAACCAACAATGGTGGGGGGAGAGGGAGGGGTGAAATGAGCAGGAACTACAAGACAGCAAGGACAGACACACAAGGCATGGCAGGACTTGCAACTCCTTACAAAACACAGCGAAAAAAGAAACCCAGCCCACTCACCTTTGGGGGCAACTGATTTGCAAATTAAAGGGGGCTGTCCACCCTCCGGGAGGGACCAGGAGCAGTTTCCTCCACTCCTGCTTACCCCTGCTGCACCACTCTGCCTGTTCTGCCAGGCTCTAATGAAAAGCTAGTTAACAGTTAATTATTACCCATTCAGACACACGATCCCCTACACTGACCCACTGCCGGCCAGGAGGGATAAGACAGTCACGTGATGCAGAAATCCCAGCCTTATGAAAGCACGGGCAACTATATTTAGTTAGAAAAACGATGACCTAGCAAGCCCGCCCCTCCCTTGGCCCCTCCTTGGAGGAACCGACCTGCCACCTCCAGAGGTCCTACCTCCATGGCACCTGGGAAGTCCCTCATCCAGCCAGGAGTTGTAACACCAAGATGAGGCATGGGAGCGAGCCTGGGGTGCATGCACATGCACGGGCTGAACTGGGGAAGGGGGGGGCAGACCAGCACGCAGCCTGGGCCAGGGGGGACCTTCCCATCCCACCCTCAGCACTGCACAGCAGGTCACCTTGTCAGCCACAAAAGTTGATAAGCACCAAGAGCAACAAACAGGGCCCAGCCCAAGGTCCTGGACCTAATCTTGAAAGCTGGAGGCACACTGGGAACCTGACCAGCGTGACCAGTGCAGAGGTGGCATTCAGCAGCGATGCTCTGGCTGCCAGCCTCTGCACGCCCAGGGCTGGTGATGCTCAGAGCTGGCAACGGGAGTTTGCCTCACCTGGATCAGCCCACCCCTCTCCACAGGGCAGCTGGGCGAACAGGACAGACACGGCCACACTGAGAACAGAGAGGGAGCAAAGGCAGCGTGCAGCCGTCACACACGTGTGCCACTGCTGCGGAGAGAAGGTCCCAGAAAAAACGTGTGCGGCAACAAAAGCCAAGAGCATCACCCGCTCCCCCTCCCACTGCAGTGGAAGAGCTTCAAAGGAGAATTAAAAAAAAAAAAAAAAAAAAAAGCCTGAGGACCAGACATCATTAATCTCTTGTCATCAGCAGAGGGGTGCTCTCTGCGCACAGCCCACTGCGGCCGATGAGACAGCACAACCGGCAGTGCCCATAGCATGAGCAAGGAGAGGTCACCGCATCGCTGCCGAACCCAGGGCGTCGTGCTGACATGATCCCTTTAATGGCCGTCAGCCTCTTCTGCAGCTGCATCTGGGGACTTGGAAGCTGACAAAACCCTTCCTGGGAAGCATCTGGTACAACTCACCGTAAATATTTAACAACAAAGAGACAGGAATTGAGAGCCAAGTGCCTGCCACAAGACCCTCCAGCTCTGAGCATTCGCGCTGTCTAGCAGGGGTCTGTGCAGCTCCCATTGCCCGTGCCAGTGGAGGAGGGCGAGGGGTCGTACAAGGCAAAGGTGCAAACTCTGCACAAAACATGCCTCTGGAAAACTTATCATCTCAAAGAAGAGAGCCAGAGACTGGGTTTCCAGAAAGTAGACCGTGATGCAATTTAAATAACATCATTCTTAGTTCCTCCCCACTATGATTCCTGTACCCAACTTTGGCTACTTCTGCAAAGGGATGTCTGCAGGACCAGCATGTCCCCTGTGCAGTGGCCACCTGCAAAGCAACCACTAGACCTGACTCTCAAAGTATGCACCAGGTCAGCTGCAAACCTGCCTCCCCGACCGCATATAACGAAAGGAGACTGAGCAGCAGCTCAGCTTGCGAGGCCAAGGAAGACAAAGCCACCACCAGGCAGAAATCCAGCCGCATGTCTTGGGGCGGGAGGAAAGCAATAGTGATTTGGTGGTAGGACCAAGTGCAGCAAACATTCCCAGGAATTCAGGGAGGCCAGACCTAGGTCACCCACTAAGCAGTGTCTCCAGAAATGAGCTGAAGAAATCCTACAATCCCGTAATCACCTGGATTAAACCAAGCACAGGTATGGGGGCTTCCTCCTGTTGGTGAATCGAGAGCATTAAGACCTTGAAAACAATAAGGCAGCCAAACATTCTTGCAATTTTTGAGAGCAGGCAGAAAGGCTCCTTTTTTGCTGCTTAAGGATTACTATACCTCAGCCAAGCTGATTTCAGGGCATGCTCTCCAAGCACAAGACACAATATCCTCACTTATGCCCCCCACCTTAAGCCAGATGCAATGAAAGTCAAGATTTTTCGAAGTAACTTTGATGCAACAAATGCTGCCAACTTTTTTCCTGGGTGCACAATCATGTCGATCCTGCTGCATAAACCACTCTCTCCAATCCAGGTAATTCCAGTGCTACAGGTGGCTGCCTCCCCTGTCTCAATACACAATGTAAAAGAGTAAAAACCACCCTAATCAGAGTAAGCCTTCCCAAAGGAGGCAGGTATACCCAGCTACAAAAGACTGCAACGCAGCACTTTCTCTCCTAATTTATAGATCCTTTATAAAGGATTAAAAACTGCTTCCTTGCAGTGGGAGCATCACCCACATCTCTATATCTCTTTATGGAAAATTTCATAGTGTTTAATTCAAAGTGGCATTTACAACTCAAGAAAGATACCTCAGCCACTGCTGACAATTCTCCAAAATGATCAGCTCAGGGTACAGCAGCAGATTAAAAAAAAATAAAAATCAGGAGCAGTGAGACCAAGACAGAGCATCACTCACTGCTCTGTTGAACACCAGTGCATCCACAGCTGCACCCTGCAGACAGCTCTGGTCTCTGCATTTCAACAAAGGCACAGTAGTGTTACAGATGCAGAGAGAAAAGCAATTAAATAGATCACCCAGGGGCAGCCCCTTAAGAGGTGAGACTAAAAAGGCTGGGATCCTCCACCACTGAGAGAATGAGGCCTGGCTGCAGTGTACAATACCAGGAGGGCACAGGAACAGCACATGAAGCTAGCAGGAGATCCGTTTAAAACAAGCGAAGTATTTCCTTAAATAGCAGGCAGCAAACTTCACTACCCCATGCAGCAGCAAGTCCTGGGAGGTGGATGGCATTGGCACCTTCACAGAGGAGTTAGGCGTTCACAGCCAACATGTCCACAGAAGTCCGGGTGGAGATGTGCCCTCATAGGCCTCGTATAACAGCAAAAGCAGGGAATATGAGTCCATCCCTCTGCTCTGCCAAGCCCAGCCCCGCATCTCTCAAGGGTGTTGAAGTCTCTCAGCTTTCCACCTGAGCTCTGGATCACAAGTTTGAATGGCTTCTTCTGAAAAGCACCCTGCAGCTGCCAAATCCTAGTCACTGGATGTGGGAGAGGAGAGGACTGAGAACTGCTGTGCTAGACAGAAAAGAAAGTCAGTTGCCTCTCTCCGAGAACAGCTTTATTTCCAAATGCTGTTAGGTAACTGGGACGCAAACACTGCTGCCCTTCCACCTCCATAGTGCTTGCATGTGACACCAGGCTGAGGGCAGAACGCCTCCAGCATCCATACGCTAACAAGCAGGAACATGCTTTGGGGCACGCTATAGCTACTGTGCCTACAAAATGGCTGATTTTTGGCTCAGGCTCCCCACCTATGCAAGTCCCAACTCTGTTACTGCAACTCAGCATCCTCCATCACTATGCTAACCACTTCCTTGGGCGGAAGAACAGTGGACTTCTCACCAAGAGGGGAAACCAGCCATACAGACCCACCTGGCCTTACAAGATTAACCTTAGAAAATAGGCACTGACATAGATATGGGAGTTCTGGTGATTTGCAGTAACAG